TCTCAAACTCGACATGCCATGAATTGGTCCCAGTATAAATGATCAGCCATGAGAAAGGTGTCAGGTTCTTATTACTAAATTAAACAAGAAGCTAGACACTGTAAAGGTATATACAATTATTTCTATCCGCAAAAAAATGTCTTTAAATGCAGGACTTTACTTAAACTCTAATGCCTATCATGCTATTGATTGCAGACTGAGCTGAGCCTCCAAATCAAAAAGTTAGTTGCGAAATTCCAAAACTATAGTCAGGGATAGAGCCGTATCATGGATACTAGATTTTAAACCAGGTGAATTACCAATTGCAGCAAGCCTTTCCTTCTTTTTCACTATCCTTTCCTCCTTGCTCAATGGCTTTTTAAACCCAAGTTCGGCTGTTGCCATTTCTTTCTCTTTTCGCTGTGCAGCAAGACGCTCTTCAAAACTGCAAAATTTGAGCATTCAGAAAAGAATTCAAGAAATAGAGTAAAGATTTGAAACTTGTTCTGCTGAGACTTATCTACCTCTCACTTTGAAATCACTAATCAAAGTAAACAATGTATGTTTTAACCTAACATCTTACTTACATCCAAGGATAACAGGCTGTCAGTCAATGAAAATTATGCCCCGCCCATAAGACAATTTACAACTATAGAAATAATAGAATCATTCGTTCATGACTAACGCAAGCATGACAGCAGACCAACCTAAACAAAAACTCCACTCAAAACCAAAAGATGATATAGTTGGTCTTATGTTGCACTTTGCAAGTTTATGTATCACTAGCAGTCATATTTATATAATTCTGATTTGCCACAGAAGCCTTATTGGCCAAGTAGCTCTTGAATTGCACAACATCAGGGAATTTAAAATTTTAACCCAAAAAAAACGACTAAACAAAAATATTAATAAGCGAAAAAAGGACCCATGCTATATTCAAATTTTCTGTTTCCTCTCTATCGAAAGCACCTGTTAAGAAAGAATAGTGCTGTTCGTCTCACAGCTGTCATATCTCCAGTAGGCACAAGAACACCCATCTGAATCATTGCCTGAAGGACCTGCACCAGTATAAATAGTTTCAATCAATTGGTGCATCATAGACACAAAATGGAACCATGGTATAATTCATTCAAGTTAACTTTAATTTCGTAGCCCTAAGCATGATCAGAGGCTACTATCCTTCAAAATTTAAAAGGAAACGATTAAAAAACCTTATCTGGATCCTTCTCATAAACTCCATAAAATGTTTCCAGCAAACCTTCTCTAATGTTTGGACTGATACTGCAAGAAACAAATATGAAAAATGCATTCAGAAATAAATAAAAGCTTCAGAGTGGTTATTGGTCGATTGTAGATTAGCAAGCACAGTCAAGGAAATACCTTCCCATCATTCCAAAATCATAAAAAATCAATCTTCCACCATTGACATCATCCACAGCAATATTTCCAGGATGCTGCATCAAGGGTAAAACAAAGTTGTGGTTACACATTGGCAGGTGATATTAAATGCCAGTATATGTAATCAAGGAACAGGAAGACTGCAGCTTTTTCGTGTGCAACATAAAGATTGATCCCTATAAATTTGAGAAAGTGAGAATCAGAAAAGCTCACATCTTACAGCTATGAGATCAGAGAACATGAATCTAATCATTATTACTCCAATGTGACAGCCATGAGGGATTACCTATGCATCTAAGAATGACCTGTTTCATTTAACTATTATGCTCATTATTTCTTTCCTCTTATGATACAATTGTCTCAGAGATTGCATTTTGGACTACACAATACAGCAGACATGTTTAGTATTTTCCCTGAGAATGTGTAAGTGAACAATCAGAGCGAGGATGGAACTACAAAAGGGGCATAATGTCAAATACTATGACCGTGGATGAGGAGTGGTACTCCTCTCACATCCACATCCACATCACACTTCTGAGGTTTTCGCAGTATTAATTATTAAATACAAGGCAAAGAATAGATATGGAAATTTTAAAGCAAAAATCCCCCTCTCATAGTGCCAAAAGCACTACAAAGACTAACCTGAGACCTGCACAAACATAACCACTATCTCAGCTAAGGATAAAACCAACATCAGTGCTACTGTACTTTTACCATACCACTGCCCCAATAGTTCTTGAGAGTGAGAGAAAATCAGGCATATCTCTTCAACTACCACCAGCCGTTGCTGTAGCCTATTATTGGAACCACTGCTTCCTTGCCATTATATCCATCAATGCTATGACCCTATACTGCTTTTATGCTCCACCCTTTTTTGCTTCTACTGTTTTTTTTTTTTTTTTTTGCACTTCTATTATGCCAATAGAACCAAAACTATTCGTGTCCATGCTCACATCGTTCACACCTAAAATTGCATGAAAGTTGGTTCCTAACAGCCCTGTACTCGGTATGAGGTGAGGTTTGTGCGAGTAAAATCCACTGGAGGGATTTTTTTTTAATCCTCAAACTCCATATGAAATTCCAATTTTATAAGATTCCCTTATGGACATCTTAAACATGTGTGAGCACCAAAATTTGAATAAAAAAGAAAACACTCACAGGATCGGCATGAAAAAATCCATGAGCCAGAATTTGCTCTAAGTATGATTCAACAGCATATCGACCCAACCTGAGGAAGTTCAAATTGATATAAGAAACATCAGGAGTGATAAGAAGAGGTCATATGTTAACACGATTTTAACCAGGATATATAAGACATGAAATTATATTGACCTTTGCCGATCAATGCCCAATTGATCTATAGCTTGTATCTTGTTAATTTTGATCCCTGGGACGTACTCCATTGTCAGAACCTAATAATAATAATGCAGGAAGTTGGACTTTAGAAAGACAATAATAATAATAACAAACAAGTTAATGTTCTACCAGCTAAAAATTAATTATTGCTGGAAGCTTAAACCTGTGGTGTAGTGTATTCCCATACTATTGTTGGGACTTTAACATAATCCATGTTTCTGAAGTTACTTGCAAATAGTTCAGAGTTAGCAGCTTCCTTGGTGTAATCAATCTCCTGAAAAACTTCAAAGTTATTAGCTACCATTTACTAAATAGTAACACAAAAATTGTATTAAAAAAGAAAAGGTTAAAGCAATCAAGGGGGATCTCAATACCTCATATAAGACATTTGCGCACTCATCATAGATAGCAACCCAATCCCTCTTCGCACCATCAGACTTTGGGTCAATTTTTTGTAGATATTCTGCAATTACCTGGAAAAGAAAACGACCAATATGTCGAAGCTCATCAGAATTTCCATAGGGTCAAGAGGAACCTTTCATGTTTCATGTACAACAAAGTAAAACAAGAAAATGCACACACAGGAGAACAAAACTGAGTAGAGAAACCATTATCAGTTTCTAATGATACAGTTGACATAGTGAATTAATGTATGCCAACAAGGACATAAAATGGAAATTCACAACTTTGGCAAGTTGATCAAAGTGGGGGAAAAACATAAAAAGGAATCCAACCATGATAAGATAAATCCATGATAACCTAAATTACCCCGAGCATTGCCCATGACCCTAGCTCAATTGGCATGGATGGGTGGGGTGAGGGTAGACCCTAGGTTCCAATCTCCTTGTGAGCAAATATAAAACATTTTAAATAAACCCAGAATTAGTTACTAATCTAGAATTGTAAGCCAATATGAAAAACTGACCCTCAGGTTCTTAAGATCAATATTGAAAAGATCCTTCAGTCCAGGCCTCTGTACTTTAACAACAACTTCCTGTCCCTTCAATCTTGCACGGTGGACCTGACCTGCATAAAGGATGATACCACATTCTCATATTTCATCTCTTATCAAATTCATAACCAAAAAACAACTAAGCTATAGATTCATTTTCTGAGTTCTCATTCTTTTTAAAGAAAAAAGAATATTAATGTGTTGATTGCACAAATTTCAGTGTCAGAAATCATAGAAATGAAATAAAAGGTACCAAGACTTGCGGCTGCTATTGGTTCATAGTCAAACCGATCAAATATATCTTTCAAAGGGGCACCAAGCTCTTCTTCAACAATAGAAACAGCTGTGTCTGATGGGAAAGGAGGAACTTGATCCTGAAATTAAACTGACTTAGTTATGCCTTAAGAATCAACAATTTACAAAAGATAGGCAACTGAGCATGTTCGAGAAAGGATAAGAAAAAACCAAAAATGCCTCTCCTTTCAAATAGCTGATTGGATAAAAAAGTATATAAAAAGTAGAAACAAAAGACAACAAATGGGAAAATTTGAGACACTAAGCTAGGTTTACTTTATGGAAGAAAACATACATTGTTGTTACATATTCGGCATGCTCAAGTCAAACGTGGATAAAAGTTAGACACTATGCTAGTTTACATGATTAAAAAAACATATATTTCATGATGTAGTTACATATTCAGAAATAGAGTCAAACGTGTAATAATCTCTCAGCACTGTATAGTACTAACCCATACAAATTATTAGATTGCCATATTAAGCAAAATGCAATTTTAGGTCATCAAGTACTGAAAATAAAAATGTGATTTCTTCTTCTACCTTCTCAAAAGCTCTAATTTTTCTTTTCAATTGTTGATAAGTAAGATTTTTTATTTATTAAAACACCTGGTGCCACAACCCAGGCACGTAAGAAGGTGGAGAAATCTATGTTTACCACCTAACAAATCCCATCTTCTTGCATGGCAAACTTAGGAGTTGTTACACATTAGGGGTAGGATACAAGAACAGAAGCATTAGGAGTAGGATACAAGAACAGAAGCATACAGAAGGAATAATGCAATCTCAATGACATTGAATTAAAGCATATCCAACCTGAAGTTCTGACAATTGATCAACATATTCTTGAGCAAGAATGTCCACTCTTGTGGAGAACTGCTGGCCAATTTTGATGAATGTTGGACCTAATCTCAAAATGTTCTCCTTCAGCCACTTGGCAAGGGCCTTACGCCTCAACGCTTTCTTTTCCTCTGTCATTCCCCCTGAACATTTTTTTTCCCTTAATTAGCTGCAAGCACCAAATAATACAGAGTCCAGCGACCTTAAAGATGGATGCCTAGTTAAAAGGTTCTAGATTCCAACAAAAATCAATTTATGCCGAGAAGCATAACTGCTGTGAGCCATTCTTTTATGAGAAACAAAAAACAAAACTATTAGGCGGTGTTATTATCATATACGCAAACTGCTCAGCCCATCCATCATTTTTTGTTTGTCTTTTTCTAAGTATTGTATGGGGGAGTCGGCACTCCCACAAAGGCAGAACCCCGTCCTTTTTTTAGAGTGTTTTCCATGACAATGCCCATATGACATTGATGCTGCCGCCACACCGCTACCCTCAGTTTCTTTAAATGTCATATGTAATTTCACAAAATGATATCTAAAAAGAATTGGGTGAATGCTGCCAACTTGAATAGCTTGTTCCTCTTCAATATCTAATACATTGTAGAATTAGAAAGCATTTATACCTTATTATTACGTGCACTTTGCAAGGGCTTCCCTCTTTGAAATACTTCTTACATTTTTGGTTTATTTCTCATCTGGAAAGTAAAAATGAAGAATTTATGCATTTGACTTTTTAATTTCATTCTACTGGAAGTGACTAACCTTTGTAAGTGAATTTTCTATTGTTCAACCAAGCCTTTATGAGGAATGTTAGAACAAATCCCCATATTTCCAAGGTCCTCTGAATTGTCGAGTAAGTTTTGAATCTACTCCAACGGCCACCAGGTGCAACAGAAACCTGAAAAAACCAAATAGTTCCATAATATTATGGCACACATGTGCACATACCAAAACTAAAATACAAATGAAGCAACCTATAAAATTAGAAAACTAAGCCATCTCAATATTAAACAGCCAACTCAAAATCTTCGCACGAAGCTATATAGAAGTAGATTCTGACTCCATACACGCAATATTGTTTGCAATAAAGTACTAGAAGCATCAATTTATCATTAAAGCCGGAACTGGACCTCTATAAAGATCAATGATCTCCTTGAGAAGATTTTCCTGAACCACTTTTGTTTCAGTTTCTATTTCTCTTGTTAACCACCTTACATCCCATCCCCATACCATTAAATTGGGCTAGCTTAAGAATAACTTAAACCATCAGTATTACCATGAATACTTTGTCAATGATTGTTTCCTTAATAGATACTGCTTGAATGCTATATAAACAATTAAGGCTAAAATTGAAACCCTAAACCCTAATAATTAAGGGTTGCAATCAACGCAAAACAACAGATACAGAAAATGGTAATATTTGTAACCCTAATGAAAAGTACAAAGAAAAAAATAATGGAAATATTATGATCTCCAAAATACCATTGGAGCCACTACCCTATAGATTGCTCAATTTTATAACTTCTCTCTACATCTTAAGTAAGATGATGTATTTTTTGTATAGGGAGTAACATGGCAGCATTGAAACTGCATTTTAGGTAGCAAAGCCTCGGGTACAATAAATTGCAATTCTAGTCCACAAATTCCAAATGTAGATCAATAACTTTTCTGTTTGTGCAACCTAACCAGTTTGGGTTTCAATTAATATTCCCACAAACCTATCGACATCTCGCATCTACATTCAAAATTGAAGTTTTCTTACCAACTCCAAGTTCAAAAAACATTGAACTTATTGGAATCATACCTCGACTTTTGGTTGCCCGGTTCGCTTAAACCACGCATCTTCCTTTCCAATTTCCTCAATATTCTTCTTCCTTCCTTCCTCCTTGGACTCCAAAACTTCAACTTCTTCCACCACTTCCCCTGCCACGCCATTGCCATTCACGAACTTCACCAAGCTCCCATTACTCGCCCCATTCACACTGCCGTTCGAGTACTTCTTCACTGAGCCATTGCTCCCGTAACTGCTACCACTAGTACTAACACCAGCTCCATTTCCACTCAACTCCACGCCATTCACTTTCTTGATAAATTCGGCTTCTCTCTCTTCAACCACAAGGCCGTCCTCTTTAATCGCTCTGATTGGGGACCGAATACCATACCTCGGGTATCCGGAGAGAGAGATTTTAGAAAGAGAAATTCTTGAAACAGAAAGGCGGCGTTTGGGAGTGGTTTGATGTGAGAGAAAGGTGAGCTCAGGAATAGGGACAGGGCAAGTAGCCATTGTTGAAAAGAATCGAGAATTTGATCAAACCCTAAGCCCCAATTTTCATGGCCGCAGAGAGAAAGAGATTGAAGAAGAAGAAGAAGAAGAAGACAAAGTCTGCTGGAGTGGGAGGAAGATGAAAATGAGTAAAATAAGGTTATTTTGTGAAGGAGCGAAACAGAAATAAAGAAAAGGGAGGGAAAGGGGTGGAGGTGGGGAGGACACGTGACAACTGGGAGGATGAGTGTTTTGGAGAACGGAGGCTCCTCATTGGCTGCCAGAACTCTCGCGGCCCGTGTCGCGCCACAAAGGTATTTTCGTTTGTAGCATGAGATTGCTTTGGACACTTCCACGCTTACGTGTCAGGCCGAGAAATTTGTGAGACTGCAAAGATTCGGTGTCTAAAAAGAACAATTTAGTTCAACGCTTATGTTTTGGATTTGTGAGACTGCAAAGATTCGGTGTCCAAAAAGAACAATTTAGTTCAACGCTTATGTTTTGGTTTTGTTTTGAACCTTAAAAAACCCATTGAGCTTTGGTGGCTTAAGAAGCTTTTTTTTTTGGCTTTTCTCCTATTTAATTCTTTACTTTGCATTTGGACGAGAGAAATAAACTTGAAATTTGGATAAAAGTCAGAATTTTTAAATTGACACATGCCAATTTTCTTGTTTGTATTCATAAAAAAGGATTACACGTGAGAAATAACCTTAGAATTTAGAAGTTATAAATCTCAACTTTAAATTTCATATAAATAGTTGTTATTTCTAAAATTACAACTTAAACGAGAATTTGAAGAAAAGAAAACAACAGTGTACACCACCAACACCACCATCGCTACTACTACCAACACATGGATGGTACTTGGTATCCGGCAAGGGAATCGATATCTAGAAATGAGATGCATTTATTATAAACTCAACACATAACTTCTGCTACAAGTATCTTACTTAATCATACAAAACTAAATCTTTACACCTGATCACATAAATATGTTTCCAATAACGAGAAGGAAACTGCCTGATTTCTTTTGGGCATGAATTAGTCTAAACAATGAATTGCAGAAGACTCTGTTCTGCAATAACATATTTTACATCATAACTGATTTGGTTGCTTGATGAATCACCTATGACGAAATTTGGGTCGAACAGTGATTACACCTGGCCTCAACTCTTCAAAACGATATCTGCAATACAAAAAATTTCATCATTTACACAAACAAACTAAACTATACCACTGCCAGCTCATTAGACCCAAACATATCAAGAAACTAAAGAAAACTAGGTATCCATTCTGTCAATTATAAGTGCATTTGCGCATAGGAAAGATGCATCACCCGTTCTCGTTGAGGAAACTTCTCACAGCTGTTGGAAGTGCAGCCTGTCCTCGGCTATGATTACCTATACCTGCAAATACAAACAGAGAACTCAGTTGCATACTATAACTGTTAGCCAATTAGGGGTAACACATTCCCATCCTAACTCTAATCAAGACATTGTAATGATTAGAATCTAGCTCAACTTAAGACATGTGAGCACCTTAACCATAAAATGTAATGAGAATAAATGCAGGCGCAAAAATGAGATAGTTGGCTCATACAAGCAAACAGATGGATAGTCACACAAAACAGCTTGTAGTGCCATTAGCCCTTTCTACATTCACCCCGTACAAGGAAACACATAGAAGGTCTTGACAAAATGCAAGCATCTGTGGAGGAATTTCTTGGATTGCTCTATTGATCACATTAACAGAAGCAAATTATGCTACAGATTGTCTTGCCAAGATGGGATATGGGTTAGGTTTGGGCTATTATGCGTGTAATGGCCCTCTTAGATTCCTTAGCCTCTGATTGTATTGACATTTCTAGGACCACATTTATTTAATCACTGTTTGTTTAGGTTTTAGCCCCACTTAACCAAAAATAAAATCTAAAAACAAAGCATTGGCTAGTGATGCTGAAGGGCTCCCATATGAAAAAAGAATATGCATGCTAGGGTTTCATGCAACATTGATGACTGCAACCCTACAAGTCTAATATAGTTTTGAAGGTCGTCCGTATGAGGATACGGTTAAAACAAATTTTAAATTGACTCATTACTTTTGGTGTTACATTTGTCTATGTGCAGGGAGAAATATGGAATTTCACAATTTTCCTTCCCAGAGTTTGTAGTCATGACAATTTGTGGTCGCCCATGAGCTACAGCTCAAGTAGCTCTAGGAAAGGTTAGTCCCCAGAAGCTTTTCTTTGGGGTTAAGTGATTCCCTTATGTGTTTATTTAAAAGTTGCCTTCATTGGAATCCTAATTCTACAAGGGAAGGAAAGGAACTCTGATCCCATTGAATAAGTCGTTCATGAAGAAAAAAACAAAAAACAAAAACCGAAAAAAACAAACAAGTTTGTCCTAAATAATCCTATGTCAACATAAAGTATAAAATCCAAAAACTAGGATTTTGAGACATGAAGATAATTTTAGAACAAAAAAATTTGATAAAACTGACTAATAACCATAAAATCACACACAAAATTACTGCAAGAAATTCATGCAGTAATGCTAGCTAAGGATTACTTAACGACAATTCATTTGATAAATGAGGTCATTTAAGTGGATTCAAATATTGCATGTAGTCATACTATGTGCATGTACTTAAGCATACGAAAAGCAGCAAACATATACTTTCAAATGCTTAGCGATTTTGTGCACACAAAATTACTGCAAGAAATTCATGCAGTAATGCTAGCTAAGGATTACTTAACAACAATTCATTTGATAAATGAGGTCATTTAAGTGGATTCAAATTTGCATGTAGTCATACTATGTGCATGTACTTAAGCATACGAAAAGCAGCAAACATATACTTTCAAATGCTTAGCGATTTTGTTTCTTATGTCATATAAAACTATAAACAGCATTAGGATCGAATTAAACAAAAATACCTGTGATAACTTGCAAGGATGTTGGTCTTTGCGTTGATGGTGCCTTTTGTTGATCCAATTTCTCTATGTCCATACAACTAAAAGACTCGAGTGACGAAGAACGTATAATCCTCTTTTCCATCCTAACTTTGTTTGGTGACACTGAATGATTAGATAGAACTTTGGTTTCAATTCGCTGCAAGTGTTCATGCAGGGCTTGAATTGCTTCTGATGCATGAAGACCGTGAAGATCCAGTTTCCATACATCATTTTTGCTATTCCTGATACTTAAAATTTTTTTGGCTGCCTTGTTATTAAGGTTTTCAGCAGCCAACCATTCCTCTCGAGCCTTGTTTGAGTGTTGTTGGGCAGAAAAATGGTCACCTCTTACAAAGGCATTAGTGGCTGCCTTAGAGTGCTGAGATGCTGACCTGTTTATTTAAGACAAGGAAAATTTCAGTACTACCATAGAGTATGCAAAAACAGATCCTTCTCTAATAGGAGATCCTGCAAATTCATGAACAGCATGCATACCTCATCATCCTTAATGCATCTTTTCGATGCCTCAAGTAAACATCATCCTCTTCCCACTCAGGTTCAACGGGTACTGACTCCAAACTCCCCAGAGTCAATTTCGGTGTTGCAGCATCATTAGGGAGCTTTTTCCCACAGAAATCATGGGCTTTTAACAATTCTATGTTATTCTCTTCCAGACATTTCTCAAAAGTAGAGTTGAGGTCAGCTATGTCAGCAGCAGATTCTAGAGGAAAACTTGTATGCCTTGTTTTATCACTTTGATAAATATCTGAATTGGAATTTATTTTTGAAATGTCAGTTTCCTTATTCTCTTCAAAGCTGGAGGGGGAAACCATTGCTTTCAATAATGTTGACGCCTTCGTAATATCATCACCCACTGCAGCCATAATATCCGCAATCAAGCTATCATCAGCCCAAGGGAAAAGATCCATGATCTTCTTCTTGGAAGATCTATTATCTTCCATGGAAGTGCCACTAGAATCACCATATAATAAGGGTCTTTTGTCATCCCTATTCTCTGTCGAAGTTGGAAAATCTACAGGATGGAGTACAAAAGAGAAAGGCCTGCCCGAAAGGTCATTATTCCTCGATACATTTTCACAAGGATACAGAGAGGGGAGAGTGGTCGGTATAGGTGGGAAATGGTCCTTGTCAGTTTGAGGCTCAAGGCCTTGTTTCTGGCGCTGCTTAAGGTCAAAGGCAGCCCAACCACCAGATTTAGCCCGCCCCCGTGACATCTTCCTACATAAACAAATAGAAGCAACAGTCATCTCAAGCCAAGTAACAACATGATGTCAAAAATTTTACAAATACAGGTCACTTTGCTACCAGGACAAGTCTATAACTTGCACAGAACATACCAACAACTCAGAGATATAGATTTCTTGGAGACATGGCATGCAAGTGATCATAAAACTACAAATGTTAAAGCCCAGATTCATGTCTTTTCACTTTATAATCAAAATTCTTGAACAGAATAAAAACACAACGAGTGTGTGTGAGTAAAAGCAAGTAGTGGTATAAAATCAAGATTTGCGCGAAAAAAGCTGGAATGGGTTGTGTTTACACATAATTATACTGCATATAAAGGCTTCAATGGTTTTTTTTTTTTAAATCCATATAAAAGAGCATAATTTCAAGTACAAAGTTCAAAAGTCATATGGCTAAAAGAAGCAAAAAATATTACTCAAAAAAACAAAAGCAACAGAGAGATGAAACCCAATAACATAAATGAAGATAGCATCAAAAAAGTACCTTACTTTATATATATGAAATCCGATACTTAGGTGTTATTTGGGAAGATTACTCCAAGGCGTTAATCGATCTGACGGCTGAGAATTCACCAAAATTGCAGGAAATTTGATAACTTTCAAAAACTTGGCTAACTCCCACGCTCCAATTTTGCATCTCAAATCCATAAATCTACTACCTGAGATTTGGGGAAATACGGGAGACTTTCCCAGAAGGACCGAGAGAGAAAGAGAGATAGAGACAGAGACAGAGACAGAGACAGAGACAGAGTACAAGGTAAAAGAGGCTTTCTACTTCTTCTCTAAAAATTGATCGAAGAGAGAGAGAGAGACAGAGAGAGAGGAGGAAAGGAGGGAAGAAACGAGAAGGCGGGGGGCTGTTTTTCTCTGGAAAGTCAGAACTAGCGGCGGAAGAAGAACCACGACAACACAAAGTCAACTCTTCAAAGTATTTTTTATTTTCCAAGAAATAACCTTTTTTTTTCCTTCTTCTTTTTTACGGACCCACAAATAAATCTTTTTTACAAGAACGTATACAAGAAAAAACTGTAAAGTAACCATCATTTTTTTAACAATTTTTATTTTTTCGACCAAAAAAACAAGTTTTATTTTTTGTTTTACAAAATTGAAAACGGATGATAAATATCGCCAGTCCACTGTTTAATTAAGTGCACCTTTTTTAAAATATTTTTTTCTGAAAACGGAGGTTATATTTTTTTTATAAATACTACAACGAATTGATTTGAGCCTCTTTATCCCCCGTTCATCTCGCCGGCTAGCCGTTTGGCTTAAGGGGGAGGACGATTTAATTCAATTGAATGAGCCATATTTATTGGGTGGCTAATTGTTTAGTGGGCAGAGTGATCATGCATGATTAAATCTCGCTTAATTGTTTGTAAACGTTTGGGTTGAGAATAACCTTGTTGAGTTAGTCATTCTATAGCGGGTAATGTCTTATCTTTTAACTATTGAATCAGACTAACCAATTTGATTAAGCGGCTAAGAGAGAGGGCATCACTTAAGAACTATATATAAAGCCCTTCTTTATAGAATTCTTGTGTTGGGCTATATCCTACGTACTGTTTGGATTTTACGAGACATGTTGGGCCAACAAGTGATCTGATATATTATAAAGCTTAAAACACAAATTAGCTTAATATAATGCAGGATTGATCCTGCTGCAACCTTAATTGTCATGCCCTATTGCCTAATCTTTAGCTGCTATAGTTGTCGTGTGAATGATGGAGAAAACCAATATAAAATAATGAACTCCAGTATGCGGGACTGCAAGCCACCGAGTCAGCATGACATAGACATGTCCAAAATTAGAGAGAGGCAGTTCCTCAAGAAGCCATTTGTCGCAACCCTGATCAAAAGGTATTTATTGAGTGTATTTTTATGCTTATTATTTAGTTTATTCAGAATTTTATTGTAGAATATACTGTTTTTAAAAGTTATAGATGGAGATTATCAATGAACTGAACGAAATTAAAATACAATTACTTGACCAAGAGCAGAAAAGGGACGACAGGTATAATAATGTATTAAACTAAGTAAGCAAGTACAAGCACATCATTTGCTAAATTTAATATATGATGGATTGGGAGGCTGCAGATTTGCACATTTCAGAATCAAAGCTATATTAGAGAGAGGACAATCGAACACACAGCTTGGAGTAAATAGTAAATATTCTTAACTATTTAAGTTACAATCCTCGTGCATGATAAACTGTGTAATTAGGACCTAATTAGTTTGAGCACTTATTTCCAATAAGTAATAATCTTTATTTGTAAGAAATAGTGAATGAACACGCGATATAAGAAGAGCCTAACCTCGAGCGCATGGATAATTGCTTTTAACTACTTCAGCTACTAACACTTTTTACACAATAAGAAAAATCTTAAACGTGAGAGGCAGGTTGAGGGATCCAATTGCATGCCTTGAGAAATTGAGAGTGGCAGGCAGAAGACAGTCTTTACGTCTATAGATGTGACAGAGGGAATCTTGGAAAGACATAGAGGAAGGGAGCTAAGGTAAGCATTATATGCGCTTCCCTCTTTTTAAGCCCTATAAGGATACCAAGTCCTCCATTACAGAAAAACAGAAGATATTTCCATGATCCATTGGTATAAATTGAAGCCTAAAGCTTTTTCAGTTTTTTTTTATTTTTTATTTTTATTTTTATGGTCAGTAAATTGAAGTCTAAAATTGATCAACAAAATATCTCAAAAGATTATTGAAGACAGGAACATGGGATGGTTTCTGGCTCCTATGAATGTACCAAAACTTTTATTCAGGATATATGCCACCTATATTTGTTACTTAGCACTGAAGAAGGGCATAGCTGCTATAGAGACAAGGCCAACTGGTTGATGATGTGGCTGATTCCTTGGTTGACAACAAGGCATGTAAATTGTCGCCACATCGATGTGTTATGTGCACTGATTGGTGTCAGCAAAGAGAAAAACTCTCTTGCAACGGGGATATCACTTTTTCCTATATCCCCAGCCAATAACAGAATGACACATGAGATAAATTTTCCATGTGTCAGTATATTATTGGCCGGGGATAACAGTTGGGGTTCTCAACTGCTAGACTGAGGTGTTTTATACTTATTGGTTCAGCAACCATAGGGTAGATGGAGGGGGTGTCAATGGTACAAAGAGAGGCAAGTGATTAATTAATTCAATACGAGTAAATAACACTTGAGAAAAGAGGCAATGTGACTTGTACATCAGTGCAATGGGTTCTGCTTTCTTTATTATTATTAATTTTTTTTTTTATACAAGCGATATTAAGGGGAAATTGAACCTATGACCTCAGATGCAAAATTACATATAAGCAATATATGTATAAATTTCTAATTAAGTAGTTGAGATCAAACTGTAGGTTAAGAAAGACATGCCGGGAAGAAATTGAAGCACTGCAATCGAGGTCAGTTCCGGCAGTGATAGCTTATTACACACTGCACCTATTGGACATGTTCAAACAAATTTAGGGTCTCCTGTGCAGGCTGAAATTATATTTTTTCCATTGCCATTCCGTTTGTGGATTTTAAATTATAGTCAAAGGTAGAAAGGAAAAGGACCTGCAATGCATAAAGCAAACAAGATAAAATCAAACAGATTAAAGGAGAACCAATGCATATTTGGGAAGAGTTTGCTTATTTTTCATGTCCTACCTCCAATTCTTCTTCTTGGTCCCATGGAACTTCCATAGCAGAAAAGGTCACAGTATCAATTCATTATTGATTTTCTTTTGTTATTATTTAACACCACATGTTGTTTTTTTTTTCTTCTTCCTCCAAAGATTCCACACCTTCCCACACCATCCTTTGCAGTTGTTCTAATCTTCCACTGTTTGTTTCTCTTTTTTGTCCACATCAAACCGCCTTTCCACTCTCTTTTTTATTTAATTTTTTTACCAAACATAAAATAAACAATAATCTATTTGCTTCCTTTTTCCCCCACTTCTGCTAGCTTTAAAACCCCAAACTCTTCTCCTTAGATTCCACAACAAACACTCAACACAAGAAAGAAAGAAGAAAAAGAAAAACCAGTACACATTTTCCTTCACTTGCATTTCCCTTTTCTATTTCACACAATCACTCTAAACTTAACTCTATGAGTGGAAGAAGAAGCCAAACCAGCCCGGTTGGAAGCCCTTTGTCTGGGAATGTCTCAGACAGCTCTTCCAAAGAGCAAGACAGGTTCCTCCCCATTGCTAACGTGAGCCGTATCATGAAGAAGTCCCTCCCTGCAAATGCCAAGATCTCAAAGGAAGCCAAGGAAACTGTCCAGGAGTGTGTGTCTGAGTTCATAAGCTTCATCACGGGCGAAGCGTCCGACAAGTGCCAGAGGGAGAAGAGGAAGACTATCAATGGAGATGATCTTCTTTGGGCTATGACAACCCTGGGATTTGAGAATTATGTAGGACCCTTGAAAGGGTATCTCAACAAGTATAGGGAGACCGAGGGGGAGAAGAACTCCATGGCTCGACAAGAAGACCCTTCTCAACAACAGGAGCATCATCACAACACTTCAAACCCCAATCTGCAGCATGGTTCTAACAATGATCAAATGAACACAGTTCTTAATGCCAATAATATTTCTATGTCAATCTCCAAGGTGGATCTTTTCAATGGTGGCTTCTATTCACTTGGGGGACAACAGCAACAACAAGAAGTGACTCAAAACTACAATTTGGTGAGTGCTGCGGCTTACAATTTGAGTAGGATTCATGAGGGTGGAGATGGGAATGGAAACAGAGATTTGGCAACTCATCATCTTCATAATGGGATAGGATGGTAGATATTGAAATTTATACAAGAGGTACCTTAAAATATTATATATATATATATATATGTTTAATTTTATATCTTTGTTGCATTTAGTTGACAATTTATTTAACAGTACTTGTTGGAGATGCTTTTGCTCAATATATGAAGATCAGAGAGCTTTGGAGAGTTCATTTCCATGAAATCCTATATGCTATAGTAAATTTTATACACTCATTTCAATTAAAGTACAATATGTTTTAATTTTAATTTAATGACTTCCTTATGAAACATATGTCTTTCACAATTGTTCTTCTAGATACTGAACAATTATCCCTCTCCTCCTTTGGAACCCTTCTTTGACTAAAACAGGTACCATGAGTAAGAATGACACCACTACACAACTTCATGAGCAAAATCAGCACTAAATGCACATAAATGAGGGGTAGTCTTGACATTTCATGTGTATTTAGTGGTATTCTTGCTCATGTAGTTGTTTTAGTGCTAAAATAGAGTGCTTTTTTTAGCATTAACGATATTCTAAACTACAGGGGAGGGGATTTCTCACACACAAACACACTACTATGGTGTCATGGGGGTTAAAACTTGAGGCAACTATTCTGCAAGTCAAGGCCCTTTTCCACTTGACTAGACCCTATTAAGTTTTTGTTTTTGTTTTTGTTTTTTGTTTCTCTTTTTTGTGTAAGATAGGAAAAACACAAAAACATGTGATAGCCAAGCTAACCAAAATACAAGGGCTGTTGAGGACCTAGAAGGCCATCCTTGATTAAAATATGGATCAATACGAATGTAGATGAACTCAATCAGTAGAGAGGGAACGGAAGAGGGACACAAGCTACCTTCTTAAAAATAAATTTTGTCATCGAAATTTGGAAGCTATTGAGAAATGGTATTCTGAAAAGAAGAAACATTATCATTTTTGAAAATTTCATAGGAGAAGTAAAATATTCCTTATCATGGCGATATGAAAAATAAAATAAAATAATATTCAAACCCATTGATCCAAAAAAAAAACCTTGATCTTATATTGATGCACATAAAGAAAACAAATTTCACGTACACATGATTCCACATAGACAGCACTCAGAAACGTTATAGAAAAATATAATAGCGGTTTTTCAAGTGCCATCAAACGCTCTATAATATCAACTTGGTCAATAGATTCATGGCCATTATTCATAACAGAATCAAAGATTTTCCATAAGAGCAGCGGAAGGACAATGGTCTCTTCCGTGTCCAACAATGCAATAGTTGAAACATATTAAAGGAAGGTTCTCATACTGTATTGTAAGTTTTTCTCGTTACTTCGAGGTTCTCTTGGAAAAAAAGGAAAAAGAGAAAAAAAGCCTACCCTTAATGACCAAATAGGGAACCAAAGGTTTGGATAAATCAATCTCCACACAAACTCTTGCAAACTTGTCATCTGGATAAATTTTAGTAGAAATGGCATCTTTCTCAAATTTAACAATTAATTTTATTTAGGAAATTTGCATAAATACCACATGAACTTTTAAGCATGTTCGCAATTACTACCTAAATTTTTAATTTTAATTATTAATCACCTAAACTTTATAAAATGTAGAAATTTACCACCTATGTGTAACTCCGTTAAGATTTTCGTTAAGTCAAGTCATATTATAATTTAAAAACTTAACAAATTTGAAAAAAAAATAAAATCAAGCATATTATCTCTTGCCTCCCCCAACATCTTTCTCCAATACCAATTTGCAATTCCAGGTGAAGTCTTACGAAAAGGGGAAGATATGCTCAAGAGGGCTAAACATACCCTAGTTCTCAAATACATTAAAACCTAGCAATCATGTCCTTTTCCTTTTTTTTCTTTGTGCTAGTAAAATCAAACTTGGCAAACGTAGTTATGGCTAAATTTGTTATTGATTTGCAGAGCTTGGCTATTGTTTGTGCACAGAGAGAGAGAGAGAGAGAGAGAGCAGGGAGGGGAGTTTTAGGGCGAGGGTGGCGTAGGAGGGATGGGTTGTTTGTTGTGGGCTGTGGCCTTTTGGTTGGGAAGGAGGCTGTCTTGAAGGAGAAGTGGGAAGGGGAGCTTGTGGGATAATTAGGTTGAATTATTATTATTTTCTTTTTAATTATGTTAGTTTTAAAAAATATAAGTTTTTTATTATAATAAAATGATTTGGCAAAAAAATTATAATAAATTGATGAAAATGTCTTTTAAAATATATCACATTTTCAATGTGTGACTTTATTTAAAGGAAATTTTAACGGAATTACACATAGGAGATAAACTGCTACACTTTACAAAGTTAAGGTAGTTAATTGAAAGTTAAAATTGAAAGTTCATATGATAATTGCGCACATAGCTAAAAATTTAAGTGGCATTTACGCAAATTTTCCATCTTACTTTATTAAGTGAGCTATTTTGGGTCCATTTCTGGACTTGGCAGTCTTTTATCCTAGTCCGCATATTTGGATATTAAGGTGGTGTTGGTCTAACATTACACCGAAAACTAGATTTCATGTCTCACATTCCAACTTTTTAACATGAGGTATTAAATTGACACATAATTTTTTATTTTTTATTTATCAAGAAGAAAGAATAAATTCATTAACAAAATTGCAGGAAATTTGATAACTTTCAAAAACTTGGCTAACTCCCACGCTCCAATTTTGCATCTCAAATCCATAAATCTACTACCTGAGATTTGGGGAAATACGGGAGACTTTCCCAGAAGGACCGAGAGAGAGAGAGAGAGAGATAGAGACAGAGACAGAGTACAAGGTAAAAGAGGCTTTCTACTTCTTCTCTAAAAATTGATCGAAGAGAGAGAGAGAGACAGAGAGAGAGGAGGAAAGGAGGGAAGAAACGAGAAGGCGGGGGGCTGTTTTTCTCTGGAAAGTCAGAACTAGCGGCGGAAGAAGAACCACGACAACACAAAGTCAACTCTTCAAAGTATTTTTTATTTTCCAAGAAATAACCTTTTTTTTTCCTTCTTCTTTTTTACGGACCCACAAATAAATCTTTTTTACAAGAACGTATACAAGAAAAAACTGTAAAGTAACCATCATTTTTTTAACAATTTTTATTTTTTCGACCAAAAAAACAAGTTTTATTTTTTGTTTTACAAAATTGAAAACGGATGATAAATATCGCCAGTCCACTGTTTAATTAAGTGCACCTTTTTTAAAATATTTTTTTCTGAAAACGGAGGTTATATTTTTTTTATAAATACTACAACGAATTGATTTGAGCCTCTTTATCCCCCGTTCATCTCGCCGGCTAGCCGTTTGGCTTAAGGGGGAGGACGATTTAATTCAATTGAATGAGCCATATTTATTGGGTGGCTAATTGTTTAGTGGGCAGAGTGATCATGCATGATTAAATCTCGCTTAATTGTTTGTAAACGTTTGGGTTGAGAATAACCTTGTTGAGTTAGTCATTCTATAGCGGGTAATGTCTTATCTTTTAACTATTGAATCAGACTAACCAATTTGATTAAGCGGCTAAGAGAGAGGGCATCACTTAAGAACTATATATAAAGCCCTTCTTTATAGAATTCTTGTGTTGGGCTATATCCTACGTACTGTTTGGATTTTACGAGACATGTTGGGCGAACAAGTGATCTGATATATTATAAAGCTTAAAACACAAATTAGCTTAATATAATGCAGGATTGATCCTGCTGCAACCTTAATTGTCAAGCCCTATTGCCTAATCTTTAGCTGCTATAGTTGTCGTGTGAATGATGGAGAAAACCAATATAAAATAATGAACTCCAGTATGCGGGACTGCAAGCCACCGAGTCAGCATGACATAGACATGTCCAAAATTAGAGAGAGGCAGTTCCTCAAGAAGCCATTTGTCGCAACCCTGATCAAAAGGTATTTATTGAGTGTATTTTTATGCTTATTATTTAGTTTATTCAGAATTTTATTGTAGAATATACTGTTTTTAAAAGTTATAGATGGAGATTATCAATGAACTGAACGAAATTAAAATACAATTACTTGACCAAGAGCAGAAAAGGGACGACAGGTATAATAATGTATTAAACTAAGTAAGCAAGTACAAGCGCATCATTTGCTAAATTTAATATATGATGGATTGGGAGGCTGCAGATTTGCACATTTCAGAATCAAAGTTATATTAGAGAGAGGACAATCGAACACACGGCTTGGAGTAAATAGTAAATATTCTTAATTATTTAAGTTACAATCTTCGTACATGATAAACAGTGTAATTAGGACCTAATTAGTTTGAGCACTTATTTCCAATAAGTAATAATCTTTATTTGTAAGAAATAGTGAATGAACACGCGATATAAGAAGAGCCTAACCTCGAGCGCATGGATAATTGCTTTTAACTACTTCAGCTACTAACACTTTTTACACAATAAGAAAAATCTTAAACGTGAGAGGCAGGTTGAGGGATCCAATTGCATGCCTTGAGAAATTGAGAGTGGCAGGCAGAAGACAGTCTTTACGTCTATAGATGTGACAGAGGGAATCTTGGAAAGACATAGAGGAAGGGAGCTAAGGTAAGCATTATATGCGCTTCCCTCTTTTTGCTTTGCCTTTTTAAGCCCTATAAGGATTACCAAGTCCTCCATTACAGAAAAACAGAAGATATTTCCATGATCCATTGGTATAAATTGAAGCCTAAAGCTTTTTCAGTTTTTATTTTTTATTTTTTATTTTTTTATGGTCAGTAAATTGAAGTCTAAAATTGATCAACAAAATATCTCAAAAGATTATTGAAGACAGGAACATGGGATGGTTTCTGGCTCCTATGAATGTACCAAAACTTTTATTCAGGATATATGCCACCTATATTTGTTACTTAGCACTGAAGAAGGGCATAGCTGCTATAGAGACAAGGCCTGGTTGATGATGTGGCTGATTCCTTGGTTGACAACAAGGCGTGTAAATTGTCGCCGCATCGATGTGTTATGTGCCCTGGTTGGTGTCAGCAAATAGAGAAACTCTCATGCAACGGAGATAGCAATTTTTTCTCTCTCTGACCAATAACACAATGACACATTAGATAATTTTCCACGTGTCAGTATATTATTGGCCGGAGATAGCAGTTGGGGTTCTCAACTGCTAGACTTAGGTGAGTAAATAACACTTGAGAAAAGAGGCAATGTGATTTGGATATCAGTGCAATGGGTTCTGCTGTCTTTATTATTATTATTTTTATACAAATGAT